AAAAAATCATTATCAGTTACAAAAAAAAAAAAAAACGCACTGAAAAATACATAATACAATATTTATAAAATTACCAAGTCACAAAAACTACATGATTGTTTCGGGTAGTATGTTTTACATATTATTCGATCGTTTATTTTATATCAAATTGTCTACAGACCAAGTATGCACATTTTCCATATGCTAACACAACTAATATTTATTTCATACAACGGTGTGCTGTGCTAGAATAATCATATTTTTCTCCAATCCGAGTGTTATAAAAATTCTATAATGAAATATTGCACAACGTTACATATTTGCAAGCGGATATTCGTTTTGTTTTTATCGTTTTTTTAGCTGATCTGTACACAATAATACGATTTTATATAATTCAAAAACTTTCCATGAACGAAATTTGTTATTACACTTAATTGAATTCAACGTACATAATAATATACATAATAACGTATATAATAATATACATAATATATTTTCTCATTAGTCGAATACAGTTTTATGACCGCGCCAGATCGCACGTGATGTAATAACATGATTTAGTGCGTTTCACGATTTTATGGGTGAATTCCCGTAATAGCATTTTATAATTTATATTATGTATGTGGGTACCGATAATAATTGCTATTCGACTGATGTAACTGTATCATTCCTGGTGGCGGAAGTGCGGGAAGAAATGAGACGGGCAAAAAAAAAACGAATTGACAGTAGAAAACAAACAGATTTTCTCCCTCGTCGATGTACCAACCACTTCGAGTAGGTTCTGTTGCGTGGTCTTCAAATATAAATAACGGTGAAATAAAAGTGCGATAATTTAATGTAGTAGATCCCGCGGCGGTAATCAAATACCAACGTTTGTTGATGGCCTCGATTACCGAAAACAGAAATTAATACGCGTGCTAAATTGGTTTTCACAATTAAAAGCAAACGGATTCGTCGTTGATTTATCACCGGCTTAAAATTACGGGTCATCTACGAATAAACACAATTCGTAAACGTATGCGGAATTCGTATTATTTCGTTCGATGTACAACAGTCGTGTCGTTATATTGAACGCTATACATGATGTATGATTTTTACGTTGTATACTGCTATTATTCTACGGCGGCGAACACAATGGCGTAGTTACGCATTAAAGCGTCCCGAGGGAAATTTTTTTTCGGTTTTATATATTTAGTGCGATCGCTCTTTGTCATAACAACCGTGTTGTGACCAGTGGCGTTATAAACATTTTATTCAAGCTTATTATTTAAATTAACTTTTACTTTAAATAGGATATAAATAGGCATCACTAAGCTTAGTCATCATCTATCACTTATCCAAAAAAAAAAAAAAAAAATCGCACTTCCTCTGCCGCTTTAAGGGTAGCTACGCCCATGAGTGGCCATGCTACGCACACGTTGCGTTTAACGCACATATATTTAATTTAAATCTAGATTGTTGAATAATATATTTATACAACGATAAAACTAGTTCTTCAACGATATATACGACCGATTTGGCCGCAAAATCGTATACAATGACAGGGGCAAGTACCGAGTTGCTTTTCGGATAGCTCCTGTTCCGCTAGCTAAAATGGCTTCCATTTAAAATTGTTTTAATATTTATATAAGCTGAATTCCATTTCATTCATCGTACTTATATTTATAAGTAATATTAAATAAACTACTCATAATGTTGCTTAATAAATGACTGGAGTCGAATTTTACATCAATGGTGAGAAGCAGAAATAAAAAGTAAATATATATCAAAAACAAGTTGAGTTACAGTGACACTAACCTATAAAAATATTTAACGGTGGACGAGTTGCGTAAGTATAATTATAGATTTAAAATAATATACTGCTGCTGATGTACGGCGCACGTCAATGATAATCGTATTCGAGTACACCGAAAATGTATAACTATTTATGTGCTATGACGCACATGATTGTGATAGACATATAAATATGTGATTAGTAAAGAAAATATTATAAAAATAATACAATATGTAAACCTTCAGTAGATAGTTGGGAAAAACACCTCCCTCGACTATTGTCTTCGACTTTCTGCGTATCTAATCACATTGGCTTGTCCACGGTAAAATGTGTGGCGTTTTTTATTTATTTATTTATTTATTTATTTTTTTTTTTGTTTCAGATGTGTCGACGATGTCATATTACTCGGGTTTTAGATAAACTTTTTTTATCAAGGGTGATTTTTTGCGCTAAAACCCGTTTTGTTACCATGTTATAATAATATTATAACGTTGTACAATATACTATTATTGTTCTCTCTCTCTCTCTATCTGTATCTTCTTCGTCGGGATAACGACGGCGTGTGACATTACATTATATTATATATTGTGTAAGAATGAAAACGATAACATTGAAAACTAATAAACCGTGAACATTCCTGACGAGATTACGGCGACGAGCGAAAATCACGCTATGGTTACGGAAGGGATGTGTTGTGTACAGCTGCAGCGACGGCGGTATCGGAGGTGGGTCGTGATAAAGTGTGATGGTTTAAGACAGTGTAGTGACATGCGTACGACTGGCCTATATGCGTGTGCGAGGGCGCTGCGGAGATGACGAGTGGTAAACATGACGTGACAAGGCAATTTGCAGAGCAGAAATTGATACACGTAGCCGTACATATAATATTTTGTACGCACGCACCCTTTACCTCCAGTTTTTTTTCTCGTCCCTAAGCGTGCACGTCGTGGTCGAAACGACACATTATTCACGTTGTCAGACACATCACAATCGAAAAATTCACTTTTGATCCTTTCACCCCTCCCCCTCCTTCCGCGACCAATGTTCCACCATTGCACCACCGGACGTGATTATCGTTAGAACTTATTGGTTATTACTTATTATTCATTATCACTTATGTTAATCTAATCACTATTTTACCCAACGCGAAATTCTCCTCCATACACCCACACATACACATCGGTTATCGTAAACCTTGACCAACATGCCGTCGGTTGGACGCGATATTATATGCTTTCGATACCGTGTCTTACCCGGAGCATGTCTGGCACTTTTTTTTCCGTCTCATCTCGACAAGCCTTGAAAATAAACAAGATCGCACTCACGCGCTTCGCTGCGTAATATGACCATAACTTTTATTATAGAATTATGTTTTGCTAGCACGCGAAACGACCATTCGTTTGAAATATTATTATTAATGATCGGAAAACGATTGTTGTTGTGCGATCACAATTCGCTCGCGTTATAATACCAACGAAATAGTTTTGATTCTTATTCCTGTGCGTGGCTCGCAATTCATTGGCACGAAAAATAAATCACTATGAATACATTACAAGTATTCATCCGCATCACATACGATGGACGATTGATATTTCGATTCTAGTTTAAATCTGCGTTTTTGTTCTTCGATAATTTCAATGATTCATTGTTGTACCGTTATAATTACAAATATAAAATGATGTGTTTACACGAAACGTTTGGATTATAAGTTTTATTTGAATGTAATAACCTAGATATTATATTATTTTACGCAGTGTAAAGACTACATACTTAACTACATTTATGTTATATGTACATAATTAGAAGTAAATATTTATTTACTCAGCTTTCAACCTACATGTTTATTTATGGAATCTTTAATTTATATATGCCAACTCAATAAAATGATTAACGTACGCAAACTTCATTATAGTATAATATTATCGCTAATTCTTTTTATAATGTTATTTTCTTAATTTAACGTGAAAAAAATTTAATTTTTATTTTCAATAAGGCATTTAAAAATTACGATATACTTTGTGGAAGTCATACTTAATTCTAACATTAGTTTTTATATTGAATTATTTTAAACATTTAGTTATATTATTATGATATATATTCAGTTAATAGTAAGAAAAACGTACTGATAATATGTTTTTGCTTATATTATCGTTTGGGAAACAAGCATAATGGTACAGAATAATAGTTTTTATTTTTATTTTTTATTTTTGTATAAAATATATGACTATATAATTTTGTTAATTTAAATAATTTATTTACTAAGTGACACAACGTGTTATTATTATTAATGGTTTCGAAATCTTTCACAGTTTAAAATTAAATTTAAACGTTTAGTACATAATTCGTTTGATATTAAGAAGTTATTTTCAAACATTTCAGTTAAAATACTTGAATTCATTAGAATAATTGAAAATATAATTTCTTTACTCATATAATAATGTATACTGTTGTGTTTTCTAAATAAATATTTTACTGAACATGAATTTTTCAAATTATAAATATTTGACAAAAACATCGATATAAAACGAGTCTACAGTTAATACGATTAATGAAAATGTTTTCTATCCGATGAAAAATCACATTTTCACCCTTCGTTCTATCAAATATTTAAAAAAATTTCAAATCGTTATTATGAGAACGCTTTTCTTTAGAATTTATCTCCTAAGCGCTGTTCTTTCATACTACCCAATTGGTTATATAAATTATAGAATGTTAAAACTAATCTATATAAAATGTACTTTTTCAAATAAGTGACAAAGAACCACATGTATGATCACGTTGAACTTATTCGCAAAAAGTGTAATATACATTATTATCAATTGTTGTTTAATATTATTATTATTGTTGTAGTAATTATGATATAAAATTATACGATTTGATCTCTCACTGTATTTATCATTTATACGGACATTTGAATTGGATTTTTATTTTAAAATAAATCATAGATCATTTGTATTATACTATAGCGTTCGACTGATTGATTTTCCAATATCACGAGACACGTAGAATATGATGAACTAGTGGGAGAGAGAGGGAGAAGGAGATTTAAATTATTATAATTATTTCATTTTATTGAACACGTTGAACGAAACGTGTAGGGATCTACGGAAATCCAGCGATCGGGGAGAATCTATCGCATACGATATGGTACGACAGTATATTGTACGAAAACGTGATAGATATTAATAATAACATTATCGGCACTAGAAATTATTGTCAATAATAATTAAGTACGTGCAATACTCACGGTCGTGTTTCAACGTAGATGAGAGTACTGGAGAACGCGCCGCGGTGTACCAAAAGTCATTCCGTCACAGACTCCGAGAGCGGTGTGTGATTTTGGCGTCGGGCTGCATCGCATTTTACCACCCCGTTTCGGCATGCCGGGGGTGGTGATGGAGTCAGTGGCGGCTGCGGTGGCAGCGGAGGACACGATCGTCGCCGTCGCCGTTGTCGGCGGCGATCGCACGCAGACGCAACCCTTTTTCTCTCCGCCACCTCGATCTCCTTCCATACGTCGTCGACCCGCCCGTCTATCCAGAGCTTCGCTCATCGTCCTTTCTCGGGTGCCATCGGTCACCACCACCGCTGCCACCACCGTTTCACCCGTACGCGCAAGGTGTACGTACACATGTATAGTAATAATAATAATAATAATAATTGTAATTTAATAATTTATTCTCGTTGCCGACGCACAGCATCCCAATACCGCACACACATATATACACGTAGGTGCTCGATAAATCCCTGCCCCTACCATCTAACTAATCCAAAAAGTTTTGCTCTACGTGTGAACCGGTATACGGAGCGTTAGAAAATAGCTAACAGATTAATTTGAGGTGGAGAAATTACTAAATTAGGGTGGTATAATACGAAAGACTTTATGATAACAAGTAGACATACAATTCTTTTACATTTTTCATCATATTGAAAAAAAATAAATAAAAACGCTTAAAATTCCTAACACTTTTTTGCTAATGCACAACAACCTTATACATATGATTTTTTCACCAATATTTAATAATGTCATTGCTCAATAAACTGTCTTAAAATCGATATATGAACGATGTATTTGGATTAAATCTCGGTGATATGTTATCTCTACTCAAATGCGTAAGAACTTATAAGAATGACAAAACCACGTACCAATAAAATTCGCCAAAACGAAAATGTATGAAAGACTACCTTGATAATTTGATAATAAATTAGTTGCAATCTTGAATACAATTATTGATTACATTTTATTCTAATGTATACTTTTTTAATTTTTTATTAGGTTCAACTTAATATTAATTACTTACAAAATATTGCCTATCTTATCTCAAGTTGTACCACTCAAATATTTTATGTTTTTTTGTTATTTTGTGCAATATATATAATCCATAAATTTGAGAATATATCAATAAAAAAAAATTGATAAATAAATAAATAAACAAATAAAAAATTTAAAAAATTAGCGTCAAAGGACAAAATAATTAATACAAATTCAACAAGCAATAAGGCCGAGTCCAAACAAAATGAAATAATATTAGTAGAATTTAATAAAATTTTAAAAACCACACCTAAATATTTTTTAAAACTGCTCGTCCTCAGAAATTTCTGTTCGTGGGATATTTAGATTAGATCGCAAAATGTTGTTTGTTAACCACAAATAATTATAAAATATTATATTTTATGTTTCAGTGAAATTTATGTTTTGAAACTTAATGATTGGGGCGACGGTCCTGAACAATCTGACTTTTTCTATTTTGTCTTTTTCTAACAAAATGCAAGATGCGAGGAAATAAAGATACTATCCCTGACATAATATTCTGCTTATCGATTTTACTAAGGCTGTGTCTTGTAAACTATTTCTCACAATAGGTATACGTTTTATTTTATATATACTAAGTATGTGCAGCTGAGGTAGTTATTTACACGTGTTCACTCGCGGAACAGGTGACTGCGCATATTACAGGGCCGACGACCTAGAAATACGTCATTCCCACCTATATTTTTTAAAACATTACAGTATTTCCCATTGTGCACCCTATGTCCTTCATCTGATTCGATGCAAGTTATTCATTCGCATGTGTATACCGTTCCAAGTTACTTTTCGTTTCATTGGTCTCGAGCCCGACAAATAGCTGCGTATTTCAACAAATATAAGAACCCTACACGCGTTTTGTTTATTATTGCGTATTGCAGTCATCGAGGCAGACCTAAGTAGTTTTTTTATGCTTTACTATTACATAATTCTCATAGCTATATACTAGTATATACTACGTACGTATAAGTTCCAATAAATATGATAACATCGCTTTTATGTATTCCCATATATCATCTTGTCTACGTAATCACGTGCATTTGATTGCAATATACGTCACAAAATAAAAAATAAAGTTAAAAAATCGAAAATGTTCGGGAAATGTACATACACATACATACAAACACACACATATGAATATATAAATAAATATGCATTTTTATACATAAAATATATTTATTTGTTTAACTAGAATAACATTGATGATCTTTTGGCTATTTATTCACGGGAAAACGGGTTAAATGAATACAATATATTATATTTTACCACGGGTGATCAAGAAATGGATCAATCATTGTTAATTGAATGACTGATATTGGTGATCAATGTTTAGAATAACTATAATTTTCCAACATTAGTGACGTCAAATTGTGACCAACAGTATGTTCTATGCTAAAATACAATTTTAGGTAATGTTAAAATAATAATTATTGCATATAGGTGAGTTTTATACGATTAATAAATAAAATTCTACTTAATCCATTTATTTTTTAGTTGCTAATCGTTTTAAATATTTCACATAATTTGAGAGAAAAGTCACAAATTTAATAAAAAAAATCACATTGCGTACAAATGTAGTATACAAATAAAGAGAAGTATGGATTTTCCTAATAGAGATATTTAATCAATGAATACATAAAAATGATAGATGGAACTGCAAATTTCGAGACTGCTATGGCCCGTGATATGTGGGAGGAATTAATAAAAGCTACGAAAGGCCTTAATGGCCCATAAAGCATAAAATAAATAAAATAAAAGAATATACCTATTCTTTAAATGATCCCAATAAATCTCAAATATTTATAGTTTATTGTCATGCAAAGATACGGTAAAAAACAAAACTGAAAAAATCCATCGTTTATATTATTGAAAAATGACAATTGGTCTGATTTAACAACTCAGTTACTCATTAGTTATATACATCATATGAGGGTTACTCCCAACCACTAAAGTACTGCAAAAATAAATTGTTTGTGTCACCAAATATGTGTATTACTTTGTTTAAATTTTTAGTGGAATATCAATAATTAAGTAATCAGCTAATTTATTTAGTTTCAACTATTTTAAATCAAGTAAATCTAAAAAAAAAAATAAATAAAGCTATTTATTTATTTATATTTTACACAATATTAATTAATTCATAATAAATGATCAAAAAAAATGAGTAAAATTTAAATTTTGAATAAAAATAGTTTATTATATACGTGGCGATACATTTTTAATACAAAAAAAAAAAAATTAACACAAATGCTGGATAAACAAATTTGAAATAGGTACATTACCCTATTATTGAGCTTTCTACTCGTACCAGACCACTACTGAAAGACTCAAAAACAGTTATTCGTAAATATTACATTGATTAATTTTATAATCTTGAGATATATATATATATATATATATATTAGCCTTTAGAAGATACATTAAAATATAAATAAATAATAAAATATAATAAATACGAAAAATAATTTAATGCTAAATTTATTCTAACTTCCGTATTCTTAACTTCCGAAATTTCAATGCTTTTAGAACGGCGTTATGTGTAGGCAATAGTAGTACATATATGTGGCGGGGAACAATTTTTAAGTCTTTAATAAAATATTTTAGTTTATAAATCGTGTACTTTACCTGGATCGAATGCACCAAAAGGTTTTAAAGAAAAATAATGGCCTTACCAAACACATAAATTCTAGTTACACTATGAGCCTAAATTACGTCCTGTTAATTATTTTATATCTAAGTTTAATATATATTATATTTGTAAAATAATGTAGTAGATTATCATTTTATAATAAAATATACACATACCCAACATTAAAATTTTAATTCGAATTGAGTAAATACATCAAAATAATAAATTAATTTTTATGTAAAGTATGTTTTTGTTAATATGAAATTAAAACTATTACAATGCTTCGAAACCTAAAATTAAAACGAATAAAAAAATCGTTACAAAAACTACGGGTTTATAAAAGTATATGGTATGAATATACAAGTTAGTAGTAGTAAGTTTCAATAAGTTCAAGTACTATGTTTTTCATAAACTCCTATGCACTTTAATGGGATCTTACTGAAATTTCTAGAAGAATTTATAATGTTTTCAGCAGGCTTATGAACGAAACGTTTTCAAGGTTTCAATGTGTTTGTACCCTGGTCTTCAAAGGAAAGTAGGAAAATGTAATTTCTGTATTTTCAACTTTTTAACGTAGTATATGATATTTTATTGAAATTTGTTGTAAGTACACCATACATTAATTACACATTAGCAAACTTTTGATGAATATATAGTATTCAGTTTGGTAAGCATAGAACTGCACACCAACCATAAGTATGTTAATAATCATGATTCTTAAACAACCGCAGCAATTAGTCCAGTACATTACGTCGTATGAATTATCTTTTTAATGTAAATTTCTTCTTTCTATATAATTTATCGATTTATATACGTGCACATCATTTATTTTTATAAGATTATAATAAAGATAGTATGGATACTATAAAATGCAATAAAATGTTATAAAAAAAGATAAACTTCTAATCGCTATTTAATTTTACTGACATCATTTTACAGAAAAAAAATATCTCTAATATGTTTCGATAGGATTTTAATATTTGATCTCCATTCCTTGTCACATGCGTCTACATACAATTGATAAATATAAAAAATTATTTATAAATATTACGTAACATATTATTTAGTTAAATAATATGTCGATACGTAAAATTTATATTAATACGTGGTAGAGTTGAGATTTATTAAAGAATACATATCAATATATATATATATATATATATGTATATATATACATATGTATATTACATATTGATTTTTATAACACTTATATTCTCGATTAGAATCATTATTATATTTTTAAAAACGATTATTTGTTTTTATACAATTTAAATTTAGCATTTCCCACTCTATATATTTTCGAAAAAATTATATTCTTATACTACGATTTTTTATGATTATTATTTATGTAATATACTTTTCAAAATTATCACATACTATATTTTATGTCATGATTTTCTAAAATAAAATATTT